AGGTTACGGGAAAAAAATCTTTTTTTTTTTTACAGAAAAGACCATATTTTAAACACTATGAAAAACAACTATTCTACAGAGGAAAAAAAATATGCACAAGCCATTCAACATTTCACAAATCAAGCAGAGTGAATATGGCCAGTGCTAATAATAAAAGTAGTGTTTTGAACCACCCCACTCAGAAACAATAATAAAGTGCACATTGGCATTTGCCGCACCTGTCAAATTTTTTGACAGATTCCGAGGATTGAAATGTGTATTTGCCAAGCTGGCAACCTTAAGATTTAGGAGATTTGAAAAACTATACTTACTTACACGGTCTTAAAAAGACGTGTGAGCGCCCGTATGGTGGAATAACAGCGTGAAAACCATCACGTGCAATACAGGCTCGAACCAAGAACGCGAATAATTGGCGTAAAGTAACACCGGTAGCATCACAGGCGTTGCTGCAGCAGCTTTCCGTTATGGCCATGGGAGCGAGTCACGACACGAATGTTACCAATTTGCCAGCCGGACCGCTCAGCGTGTGTTTTCCGGCTTCCTGTTTGCACGCAAAAAGTGAAAACAGTTTTCCCTTTGACAGTACGCGGCAATAATCTGTTGCTTGTTACACGGCTGCTCGCTATAACCAATGCTGCACCGCGAAACTTGTTTTGAGTGGTACCGCGTCGCATAGTAAACAGTGTCCGCAACTGAACTAATATGGCCAGCAACGCCTGTGTGCCCACATTTTGCTTGAAGCGCGAATACACGGATGCCAACGTTCACTGTACAGTATATGGTCCACTGTTAACACTCGAACGCACACCATCAATATTCCTGGCCCTCTAAGAGCAAGTGGATTAAGAAACAATCTTCATGCAAGTCAATAGTCTGTCAAGAGGAGTCGGAACTTTCAACCACCAGTACCCTTCTGCATATCTAAGAGGCTATGATTCCGTAAGATAGCGAAATCTAAACATGCTGCTCACGCAGGTGTTCCCTTTAACGGTGGACCCGTCTGTACGTGGACCAACTGTTTCCTTGTGCGATAACCTCTTTTATGTATGTCAGAAATGTCATTGGATAGAAACGCTGGTAATTACAAGGCAAAATTGGCAAAAGTTCATAGAAAACGGGAAGTTTTTAGGACATCGAATGATTGATACTGCTGTGATGCATTTTTTGATATTCTATTTCGCCGTGGGCTTTCCGCTGCTATGAAACAGGATAGGTTTGCTCCGGTATGCAGAAAACTAGTAAAATTTGTTGTTCAGGCTTTTTATGCAGATATCGTGAGGATGTTACAAGACAAGATGTAGTATTGGGAGCTAAAAATAACATTGATCACGTGAGATTTCGTAACGGGCACTGAATCTAGGTATTTGAGAATCATCATCAAAATGCGGTCGCCATTACCTGGAGTCAAGCCCGAGTCAAGTAACTTAGTTGCATGAGACCTTGGGTATCTATAATTGCGGGTTTCAAATATCATGGTAAGCTCACCGAACTCATTCACAATAAATCCATTTACACGTCCCGCTTTTGTAACAAAAATACATTCCCGAAAGTCAATCTCCACTATTCATTGTGCTTCAAGTCCCAGCCCTCAATTGAACATAAATGTATAGTAGGCTTTGCTCCTGCACAAAGCTCCAAAGCTTCATGATCTTGTACAATGTGGGCTACCACCGAGATGTATCGAAAGCTGTGCTCTCTTTAGTATGTGGCCTTCTTGCACTACGTCACCATAGTGTTCTTTGGCTTTAAACTAAGCTTAGATATACAATGTGACACCTGTTGCACAACCACATAATGATGTATATGCAAAATACAAGTCGAAACACATGCCCCGAGAAAACGCTGTCGTACACTTACCTGTTACGAATTCAGCATGGGCACGTACAAACACTCGTTTTTGCTCTCTTATGACAAATAGAGAATAGGGAAGTGTCAGGATATATGCGTTAGCTAAACCACGTATTCAAGCTATTTCTCGGCACTAGATGAAAGTGATCTATATAGGATCGCTCCAATCATCTTCAAAACATCATCAAAACATTTGAATTTTTGCCCTGCTTTTATTGTACCTCCGCTGCCACATATCTGACGGCTTACCCTAATTTATATATGTAAGTAATAGCAAGTACGATGTACTCGTTTTATGTTGCTGATTTACTTTTTTTCTATGTCTAGCTGGCTCCCATTCTTTCTTTGTTTTAGCGCGTCTGTGTTTTTGGTAGATTGTTTATTCAGCGTTATTTCTGAAGTGATCTCACGCGAAGGCTTCTTGCACGGTAGTGGCCACTATAACAAACGTTTTGTTTACAGTCTGTAGGAGTGTAAATATTTGGGTTTTTGACATGAAATAGCTTCAGTTTTGCATTTGGATCTCTTCTTCAACGAACAGTCGCCACTCTTTATTTCTATGTTTTCGTAACCGTCATTAAATACCACCCCTTCGAACCACCAGGGTGGCCAGTGGCTGTCTCTTTAAAATGTCCCTTTCAAATGTAGAATACATTAACCCCACCAAAACAAAAGCGATGCCTTTTTAGAGCCAGAAATCAACGTTTTCAATTGATGCATTCAGTTATTTATTTAAGTAAAATATAGAATTCGTTAGAAAGCATAAAATATTCGAAATCATAATTTCATATCATGTGAGTTGGGACTGTTCATTGAAATAACCTTCAAAACAATTTTTCTGCAGTATTTAGTGTATCTCCCTGTAGAGCTTTCATGCCGACAAATCTCAAACTACAAATTTATTACACATTATTAACCTGGCAGTTTAATTATTGCAGTTTGGTAAGAACGGCCACAACGCGGACTATCATAGATAAAATAATTACATCACAAAAGCACTTCTCCGCCACATGGAAAATATCAAACCCCAGGCCACAACAAAACATTGTGAAAAAGATACGAATCTATTCGGGTAGATCGGTACTGCGAATATTGTGTTTTGAAGATATTTTATTTTGCAAAAAGGGAATACGGTGATTTTCTTATATATTTAGCGACATTGAAACACCACGACCTGCCTGCGCATCTAAGAAACCCTGATACTTCGGTTTGTACCACGTTTTTGCACTGTTTATAAGCTGCAATCCTTCCAACACAATTTACCGAAAATTCTAAATACTCATGTTCATGCAACTGAATTATCTCGCAAGAAATTGAAGATGTATTTCGCTAGCCTGTAAACGTGTGTACGGTATACTCATGTATAGCGATGTGAATCAAATAATTAATATTTTGTTCGAATGTCTTGCTATTTATGCAAATATGTATATCATCGCATGTTCAACAGCCTGTAATCATGCATCTGAGAGTTAAATTTATTTTGTACTAAAACATTTGTCTTCTCGCACTCTTATGTACAACATCTCCCGGGCCCAGTCAAGCTGCTTACGGAAGCTTCTAGCCCCGGAGGACGTGTTTGCTGAGGTCCCTCAAAAGGTACTCGGCTAAATTGAGGTACTCGGCTGCTGGCCCACTGGTCGCGCGGCATCGAATCCCGGATACGGCGACTGCATTGTTATACTGCAGGCTCGTGTGCTCAGATTCGGATGCACGTGAAATAACCCCAGGGGATTAAAATTTCTGAAGTCCTCCACTACGGCGTCTCTCATAATCATATGGTGGTTTCGGGACGTTAAACCTCACACATCAATCAATCAATCAATACCACCCTTCGAGCTTCAGTTTCTTCGTTAACTCTGGTCCTCTTAATTCCTTTCGATATCAGTATTCGACATCTTTGTTGCCATCTCTGACCAATATGACGTCCTCACTCAAAAAAAAACAAAAAAAATGATACTGTGAGTGCAGCCACTGACTCTTTGTCAGCAGCAAGTATCATCATCGTTTGTACAACTTCCTCATCTTTATGTATAATCATTATCGTGTGTCAGCTCTAGCTCGACCTGAATAGAGTGTTCCATCGTGTAAGTGGTGGGGGTGCTGGGTAAAGTAAGGAGAGTCAGCATACCCAAAGAGGCCAGTGTGCGCGGAAAAAGATTAGCAAAGGTCGTTGAAACGTCTTGACCACGTCATATTCCTAGACTATGAATGACACCTCCTTGAAACTCTTCAGCGTCAGTGTATTCACCTCTTCGACCTCTTCAGCTCTAATTGCCAGAGTGCGTGACTGTCGTTTGTGTAGCTCTCAAGCCATCGTTTTTCTTGCGCCGAAATATTCCATCTTCCACGCTTCATTGTGACAATCGCGGATGACAGTTTCTAAATTAATCTTTGTCTTCTTCACATGCTTTCTCTTAGTTCCGCTCCAGCTACAGCTACTCTGTTTCCACGTGCATGTAAAGGCATGGTGTGTCTTTCTCTCTGCGATAAACTTTCTTCGCGTGCAGTCTCTCATCAGCACCGTGCTGTGCAACTTAGCTCAACTCGAAAGTCTGGGGCCCCATTCTGATCGTTTTCAACCCCACGGTAGTTCACGGAAGAGAGGCCCCCCCCCCCCCCTCCCGAAGTGATTCTTTCTCTTTTTTTTTTAAATTTTACCCTTCATACAGTGATGGACTTGACCAAAACATTGCTGACAGAAATGAAACCTCATTAACTCGTTAACGACGTGATTCATCAAACAGCACGTTCCAGCGGTGACGAGTGCAGACGCTGTTTTGTGCATGCTGCTTTTTCCCACTTATTCTTCATGCAGCGCGACCTTCCGTAAATTTTTGTTCCCTCATTCAACGTCCTTCTCCACTGGCCTGGTTCCATTCTGCGTATTTTGTCTGTGAGAATTTGTCCTGGTGCATTCTCTTTACTTTTTCTTTGTGGCTGACTTATGTGAATGGTGATCGTATGTTGGAACGCCTGTAGACCAGCTTCACGTCGCGCCGAAGCGTCCAAATGTAGCACCACGGGAAGACTGTACGTATTTAGGCGTTCGTCGCTGGACCGGGGCACGGCCGCACGTTCCGAAGCCGGCTAGAGTGACCGTCGGGAACACGTGCGGACAAAACGAGGCGTGCGTAATGAATGCCATGCACTGTTCATGGCGCTTCACGCGTCCAGCAGGGCGCCGTTGCGCGCCAGTCGTCCCGCTGCGACTTGATCGAAGACGTCTTTAAAGTGCAGTCAACGCCGTCGACGACGGCGAGTCGGCCGGTGGACAGCATCTGGGTGACACTCAGCGGCACGCGAGTGGGCAGCGTCTGCGCCTGCAGGGAACCGAATTCCGACCACCCTGGTTTTGCTCTCCGCGTGACTTGGTGGCTGGTCACTGCAGCTACTGTGGACTTCACCGTGGTCTATCGAACACTTCCAGCCGGTAAATGTAAACACCAGTTATACCAGCAGCCACTTGGTTGCACGCCGGCATCTCCATCCCAATCGTTCAATTAACGGATGGAACGAAGTGTCATTGAAAGGAACGCAAGAAGTAGCACATACAAGCACTCGTTGGTGTGTTTTTTAACCGTAAAATGCTCGAACTAGCCCAGCTAAAACTTGCTGTTTAGATTAACCTTTGTCAAGAGGGTCAAGTAGCGGATGTTTTTCGTGTCACATTGCATTCAATTGGATTAGGAAGGTTCGGGGAATGAAATATTTTAAATAGCGGGCTGTCCGGGCATGTACTTTGCTACGCCAGCCTCGACTGAATACAACAAAGAATGTTGAAATAATTTTGGCCCCATTGCTACCTACCACAAGTGAAGAGTTTCAAAAATGTTCACTTGCCATCCCAGCCCTATGCAAGTGGATTTGCAGCGTGGTGGTGGAAAACCACCCTTACATCATAGAGTTTCCTAAAATTAACTAGAGGGGACTCTGGTGCTGCGATCGTTCAGCGACCATGGGAATGATGGGTAATACACGGATTTGCCTAGTCTTCAGGGCGGCGAATCGTACTTGCGGCTTCGTTTATTGCTGTGTTTCAGTTTTGTTTTGAAAGAAAGATTCAACCCTTTTGAACTTCGTGACCCGATTTGGAAAGGTAAGTCTAAAAGAATAAGATGGTGAAGCGCAACCGCTGAACATTTGCTAATATTTGTTTCGTGAGAAAACAGCTCTAAGCCACACGAACACACATGGAGCCAAAAGCAGGCCAGAAGTACGAATATTAGACAAATGTGTGTACTACCCATCATTCCCATGCTCGCTGAAGCGTCGTGCGTTGCAGCTCCCATAGACACTAGTGCCAGAGTTCCCTCTAGTGTATATTAGGAAACTCTATGCCTTTCAGTGCTGCAGGTGCATTATCAATCGCCCTCTATATCATGATATATGTCCTATGAAGGGATGTAGAAAGAATTTGGCGTTAACTTGCTTAGGTACGAAAACACACGTGACCATGGGGGGACGTAACGCTTGACATCTTAATGCAACATGACCCCTTTATCAAGTCAAGCATGAGGTGATAGGGTAATGTTCACGTAGTGAACATTACCCTATCCCCTGATGACGTCATGCGATGTCATCACTCAAAGCATGATATCATGCGAAGACGTCATCGTCAGGTGGCAGTCTTATGACTTCGTCACTTGTTAAAGTTCACTCGTGTCAAAATTGCTGCTAGTATTATTCCCAACCGATCTGCTTTGCCAGTTTAGCTTTTTGATGCTTAGAACTGCTCTCAATTATGAGATGGCAGCCATAGCTATTGATGTGGGGTGCAGCACTCCTGTAATACTTAAAACAACTTAGTAGTTATGTTCGACCCGGGCGTGAAGAACTGCGTGGGAGGAAGCGACAGAATGCATTTACAAGGACCAGACGTACGAGTGGCAGACTTAAGATGAAAGAGACATTGACAGTGACGTCTCAAATATAGCAGGGACATGAGGAAGCCTTCGTGGCGCTAGTAGATCGTGGCACTGGGGTTCGACTCCAACTATGGAGCCGCTACACTGTGGCAAGACACTGTGCCATACTCCTGTGATCTGTCATCGTCTGCTATAGACCTATATAGCTGTGTAGTGCTAATATCAGTGAGAACATGTAAGCAACATTTAGTGTCGAAACAACTCCGACAGAAACTGTCATGTTGCTTTAGAGCAGGTAAGATACAGGCTATTGATGACGCCTTCAATGAAACGCCTAAGTTCATTTCATAGCTTCAGTTAGGACGCGTAAGTCTGTCATCGCGTCTGTACATCCCCTTAGGCGACGTCTTCTTCAATGACTTCGACTGAGTATGGTGTCCACCTGGACAAAGTGTGTCACCACCCTGTTAACGGGGCAGGCTGCGCCGACTTCGAGGCACATAGTTACAAACAAGAGTTACTGTACGTGCTGAGGTAGTGGAGTTGCACGTAGGTCAGGCTAGCACCTACACCCATACGGTGCAGTCGCAACTTGTTTTCGCAGGCCAGATGCCTACCGCGTAGCCTGACATGTCTAGCGTGTCGAATAACTGTACGTATATAGGTATGTATTTAGGGGAAATTCGGCGAACACACTTGACTAAATCAGATGCGTCAACAATGGCAAAGTATAGTATACGTCAACTGAGAAAGAATGAATAATAGAATCTTTCGCCTCTAGACTTTCTCTCCACCTTTGACTTAAAATCAAGAGTTTGGCATCACCTTCCTCGTCCCCTCGAGACACTTTATCATCGACTATAGACCTCAACGCAGCATTCCTGATTAGCTACACGTGCCGCCTCCGTTTGACCAATGACCCATACTGTGATAACTGTGGTGCTTCAAAATCAGTCGAACCTACTTTTTTTTTTTTTTAGAATGCCAGGCATACGCAGAAGAAAGATGTTACTTCCAAAGTAGAATAGGCTCAGCTTCCCATGAACTGCTAGATCTCGGGAAGATACTTGGACCTACTCTTTCTTCTCAGCAACGTCACGTTTGAAAATTTCTGTTCAGATTGCTAGAGCACATTAACCTGATTGGTAAACTGTAACATAACACATCATTACTATCATGTGGGGACATTGAGATATCATGATCATAATGTTTTTTTGTTTTGTTTTTCTTTCCTCTCTCTTCCTGCACTTCTCCTCCAAGGGCATTTCTCTCTTCAATCCCCTCCCCCATACAGAGTAACATGTAGGCGCTTGATGTACGCCAGCAGAATTCTGTTTTTCTTTAGAGAGCTTTCTCTCTCTCTCTCTCTCGTCAGCGATAAACTTGACTGCCAATAATGAATCTCAATCTGGTTCACTGCAGCGACGTCGTTGGAAAATGCGAAAAGCTTTGTACAGTCCAGTCCCGTCTTCATTCATTCAGCCGAAGGCAACAAAAACGTGGTAGCCATCTTCTTCTTTTTCTTCTCATTAGATATATTGATTCTGCTCGTCTTCTCCGAGAGTTTTCTGCTCCTAAATAGGTGTTGCGTTGCCTCCGATATCGGCTCCCTTCAGACCTATTGAGCGATGATGCCATGCATTCTGTCATTCATAATAATAATACTTAGAGTAGGCTATATTCGGAACAGATAACAGAGAAATTCATTGCATATTTAATTGAAGTTAATGTGAGTACAACTGCACCGTATAACAAATGACTTCAGTAAGACACGCAAACAGGAGAGCATAAAGGCGAAGCAGCTTACAGCACTGCGATACTATCACAGATGACAGATCACTAAAAGTAACAAAAAGAAAAGGCGACACAAACAGTCGCTAAGTTTGAACGGTATCACGTAATAATTGCGAAGAAGAGCCACAATTTTTCTCCGCAAGTCGCTTTAAAAACGTCAGTAGACAAAATTGAATATTCCTGTTCTTCACCCCGAAAAAATATATGACAATTTCTGGTGAAGGCGTCTTCACCCATGGTCCTCGTTTTGTGTTTCTTTCTGTTCGGTAACGGGAAGGTACCAAATTATGACCATTCTAATCTTCTGTACCACTGGTTATGCGCTCATTCTGCTGTTGCGTTAGAAAAAAATTGTGAACGCTTTGGAGCACGAAATGCACTTTACTATGGGATAGCCTAGCTGTCTCGGCGCATTTTCATATGGTGAGAGTGTTTAAAAAATGTTTTAAATGATTTAGAATACTTAGTACTCTACTAAGGGAGAGCAAAAAGCCGCCCACTGGGCTTCACAATACACAAGGCAGTGTCGACCAAAATTACTCCGTGAACGAGTTCACGGGTAGCATCAGAAAAGGAATAGGAACAACACCAACGGATGCAGAATGGCCGATTACAGAAGTCGTATACTGAAAAGCTTCATCATTTGAGCCACAGCTACTTCATAACTTTTCGTGAATTTTTTTGTTTTGTTTGCGGGAGCGTAAAGCTTATCTCACTTGTACTATCCAGCTTCTAATCATTATTCAGCAGGTGGAAAGTCTTACTTCCAAGTAAAAACATGACGAAGACGCCCTAGCTGAGTGAATGAGTGAGTGAAATAACTTTATTAGGTCCACAATAGACGCGAGTTAACTCAGCGTCACCTATAGTTAGGCCCACTCGGAGACAACCAGGCTTAAAGCCCTCGCGTGGGCTCTCTGGACGGCCAGGATTTCAGAAGTGAGATCCTGGGCCTCAATCAGCTTATTCATTTCCTCTTCTTGGAAAGGGGGACAGGCCAAGCCACAGCCCCATAAGACATGCTTGAACTCCGCATAACCGCCACATCATCGTTCGGGGTATATTGTGTGCAGTGCCGCAGGGCTCGGGTAGGCTCTTGTTTGGAGCAGTCTGAGAGAGTAACAGCCTGGGCCCTGCACAGCGAGGACTGTGGCAGGAGCAGCACTCTTCTTGAGAGATAATGGTGCTTGCATATCTCGTTGTACGTGCAGAGAGGCTCGCATCGCCCAGGAGATGACGCATTACCTGCACACGGTCAGTCGAACCTCGTGCAGCCGAATGCGCCTCCTCCTTCGGATTGATCGAAGCATCCTCAATTGGTCCAAGGTGTGCAGGAAACCAGACCAATCAGGAATTTTCGTTGGAATTTTTTAAGGATCTGTAGGGCCTTGGGAACCACCATACTCATTTGAAATGCCTTGATAGCAGACTTCAGCAGATAGCAGTCTGAATAAATTGTGTCATGTACACCGTCAGTTTATGCAAGAGCAATGGCAACCTGCTCGGCAACGCTGGAGCTAGGAGGTTGGATGGTATAGCGCAGCTGATTACTTCACAATCACAGCCAACAACCACTGGTGATAACGCTTCTTTTTCAGCGTACGAAGCGGCGTCAATAAAGCAGGCTCGTTCCTTGTGCAGGTGGGCACTGGCAAGCAGAG